GGCCGAGCCGCGGGCGTGCGCCGCCTCCGCCCGCAGCCCTCCGAGGAGCCGCCCGCGCAGGAGGTAAGGACGCCCCGAGGGCTGGCGGCGCGCGTCGACGGCAGAGTCTCCGGCCCCGAGGTTTCCCTCCCGGCGCGGCCACCCCCGGAGCTCCGACCCCGCGCAAAGCCAGCGCCTGCTGCTGGGAATAAGGGCCCCGTGTAGGGAGGCGGGCGAGGAGCCCCCTTCCCGCCCCGGAGCTGACTCCGTCCTCTGGGCCGCGGGAGCCCTGGCGCCGGGGCTGCTCCGCAGGGAAGCGCACAGGCGGCTGGAGCTCCCGCGATCCGCGCCCCGGGCCGCAGCCCTGCACGCTGGAGTCGGTAGGGGGGCTGTCAAGTCCGCGCCCGCGCTGCCTGAGCCCACCCGCCTCCCCCGGGCGGGGGCCGCGCTGGAAGCCGCGCCCGGGCTCCGTGTTGGGGGTCTGGTGCCAATTTAGCGCGCCCCTGCGCGTCCCGGGGTCTAGGGTGGCCCGTGCTCGCCGCACTGTGCTCCATGGCGGCAGGAAAATATGCGAGGGTCCCACTGCAGGGAAACGCCCGGGAAGAAGGCTGCAGGATGTGGATCTGGGAGTGCTGATGCAGCCCGGGCTCTTCTCATCCCCGCGGGACGAAGCAGATGGGCTCAGCTCTGCACTTCTTTGGAAGACGGGGAGCTTCCAAGCAGTCATTCCTGGACTGTTTCCTGTCTCTGGATAAGAACTCAGAGTGCGGAGGGAAGCAGAACTCCAGGCGTTGGAGCCCCTGCTCTGACTCAGAAAATCCTAACTGTGAATTACAAGATGAGGGGGGCCCATTACCTGGTGGAGCCTCCGGTTTCCCCCTCTGTAAGGTGGGGATGAAAAGTCACGCCCACCTCAGAGAGTCTGAAGACCTTGTGAGTCAGGCCCAGGGCACAGTGCCTGGCACGCGGTAATGACATCCAGGCTTCAGGCGTCTCTGGGAACGTTCATGGGGTGGGGCAAGTGTGTGGGAGGTGAAGGGTCTTTCAGTCCCCTCTTCCTCTCCTCGTTGAGCTGGCCTCTTCTGCTCTGCACTGTTCTGCCATTGCCCCTGTCCCTTCTCGGTGGACTCCTGTAGCCTGCTTAAGGGAGTCCACCAGGCAGGCTCTTTTGTGTAGGGTTTAAAATCCCTGCCTGGTGCATTGGCCTCCCTCTTTGGCCTGCTGGTCCCTCAAAGAGGCCTGGCCACTTCCAACAGGTGAATTCTACCATGTCTCCCTAAGGTAGAGGAAAGCAAGTCAAGGAGAAAGAGGAGGGGAAGGACTCTTGGTCCCTAGCTCTGACCCAACCCAGGTGGTGCTCCCCTCATTCTGCACAATGAGGGACCTGTGATCACCAGAGTTTTCTATGGCAAGAGCATCTTTTCAGATTGAGATTGTCCATGTCCTCCCTCTGTGTGCTTAATATTTCTTTGTCTAAATAAGAGAAGAATGTAAAAAAACCTAATCATTGGAGACCTCAAGAAATGCAGGGAGGGCTGAAAACAGCCCAGAGTCCTGGTTGAGTCCCGGGTGAGGCTTTTGGCTTAATGCACGCCTGCAGGAATCACATACTTATGTCTCAGTAGCTTTCAAAGACCTCTCCCAGGGGAGCAGGCATAAAAGGTGGGGAGCCTGGTACCAACTGGTAATTCTAGCAGAACCCCTTGTTTTCTGAGATAACAGCGATGATTGAGTCATTAAGCCAAGCAAGGCTCTGACCTAAGATGCTTGGTGGCTACGATGATGTGGTTAGTTTGGAGTCACTTAATAAAAAACTGCCTAGTCATCGGAAATGCATTTCTGCCCTCTCCTTTCAAGTTGTTTTTTAGATCCTTTTTCTGCCGGGTGTTTCTTTTGGCAGATGCTGAGGCAGCAATCCACTCCTTTGGTACTCTTACCAACACTTTCAGCTTTGAAATTGAAATAATCCAATGCTAGTGATTCTCAGCCTTACTGTTGGTTAGAATTACCTGGGGAGTTTTTTAGAAATGTATCTGGGTTCAAGCCCTACCGCAGAGATTCTGATTTAATTGGTCTGAGTGTGGCCTGGGTAACAGTCACTTTAAAGCTACCAAGTATTGAATGCACAGCCAAGGCTGAGAGCCCATGTCCTGTACGCTGTTACTTTGTGATCTGTGTGATCACCTCTTGATATTTTATGTGCTTCTCTTTGAATGTTCTTATTCTTAAAACTTTTCATTCAAGTCTTAGATTACCCTGGCTTCAGGCTCTTGGGGTCTCCTGGTGTTCCCTTATAGTGATTTGCAGACAAGTTTTTTGCAGGAGGAACATGGGAGGAACCAGGAAGGCCGGGGAGAGGATGAGTTACATCAGGTGGTCACAAGCTGAAATGCCCACAGGGGCCAGGGAAGAACATAAAGCCAGTGGCCTAGGTGGGAATGACTCAGCTGGAGAGTGGGGCTGGTGGTGACATGGAGGGTATGTCTTTTGCCCGAAAAAGATCATGGTTATCCACTTCCAGTTGGTTGAGGCTCCAGGGGCTATCATAGATTGCAAAAATGGCCACAGACTCTTCCCATCCTGGATACAACCCCATTTGCAATGAGCCTCTGCAACTCCTTACATCAGGAGATGGAGTCAATTTCTCCAGCCCTTGAGACCATTGACCCTGAGACTTGCTTTAGCCAATGGGACAACAGCAGATGCGACACAAGCAGAGATATGAAAAATACTCGAGCATTGGTGCTTGCTCTCCTGATGCTCCTGGGAACCCTTTGACCACTGGCGTGTGGAAGAGCCCTGGCTAGCCTGCTGCATGATGCACATGTCCAAGACATGTGAGTGCGGCTGTCCTGGGCCATCTCCTCCAGATGACCATACAGATCCCCTAAATTGGCCTAGACCAGAAGGACTTGCCTGGCCGACCCACAGAATTTGAAAAAATAATGAGTGTCTTCAGGTGACCTGAGTATCAGGGTGGGTAGCAAAAGCATATTGAAATAGAGCCCAGAATTGCCAGATGTTATGACCTTTCAAAGAGAAACCAGAAGTTCAAATTTTTGTGTAAGCTCCAGTTTTTTAAAAAATTTGAATTAGCAACCCGCATCCATGAATCACTCTCTGGGCCAAACAAAACACATCTTTAGGCTGCCCTTGGCCTGCAGGTTGTTGGTCTTTCTGCACAGAGGGACTAACAGCTAACTGCTACCCCTTCTCTCACGGTCTCACCATGGCTGCCATGCCCTGGCTTACCCTCAGCAGCTAGCTGTTTCTTTATGTGAAATGCCCACACTATACTTTATAACCCCAGCTTCTTTTGGCAGTCTTTCCATTTGGAAACGGAAGCTGCTGGTATTGCCAGTCTTCATGGAGGAAGTGAGATTTGAGATGGGCCCCCCATGAAGGAAAGTTCTAGAAAGGGTACTCCTGGTTTTAGGCGTGGAAGTGGGGCTGGTGATGGGACAGTGGACAATGCACCCACTAGTTTCAGCCAGAGAAGAGGGCTACTGTAAGGAAATGAGAGAGACGAAGTTAGAGAGAGGGGAGATTGTGGAGCCCCTAAATGCCAAGTTTTACATTTGATTCTGCGGGCACTCTAGGCAAAGAGAAGTCACTAGAAGCTTTTGCATAGGGGTTGCATGGGGAAAGCAGTGATCACCTCTATTCTGGGTGTCAGTGTGCCCATAACCAATGGGGGCAAGGAAGGGAGGCAGAGAGAGACAGGAAGTATAGTGCTTGTAATGATAGAGGGAAAAACAGATGGGAGAAAATTTTCCTTAAGATTTACAGTAACTTCTTTTTACCTTAGGTTGTGGTTAGTTAGGTTAATTTTCTTATATATCTAAACGAGACTTATCAGCTTTTTTTAAAGCACTTCTATCAACAACTTCGTCAAGGTTCTTGTCTGACTTAAAGGTATCTGGAGCTTCCAGTTGTTTATTCCTACACTGGGGACATAGGGAAAGAACTTCCTTGCTTTCTCGTGAGAGCTTCTGGAAATGATCATTCCCTACCCCCCTGCGCTTTCTCTGCCCTCTCTCCCTAAGGGATTCTAAGTTATCCACCTTTCCTCAGAATGAAGGCTTACAGTGTTGAGAGGGCTGGAGGAGAAAACACAAAAATCTTAAATACATTTTCAATCTTGGGGAGAGGGAGAAAATGTCATAGCTAGAAGAAAAGGACAAAAAGAAAATCCAGAGAAGTCAGTTATTGCCCTAGTGCCATGAGAATACAAAGCATACAAGAAGCAGTAGTAAAATGGCCATATTTAGACCAGTGATTTTCCATCTTGCCTGCATGTTGGAATCCCCTGGGAACTTTACAAATTCGTCCTGGGTCTCACTTCCTTGAGACTCTGATGCTCTTGGTCTGGGCAACGGGATCTTTACGAGCAAAGCTCGGAAGGTGGTGGTAGGTGCTGTGGGAGTTCAGAACTGCTGTCCTGGCAGGCTCTGGTGCCTCCCCGAGGCTGGGTCTGCTGTTGTGAGGTGCAAAGCCATCTATAAGCTGCGTCTGGTGGGAACATTGCTATTTGGTCTTCGCTTGTTTTCATGGTAGGTATGGGCAGTGGATCGAATGTAAACTTGAAAGTATGCAGTTTTGAAACAGCATGTCTAACACAAGCCACATTCTTGGGTTGGATGAAAATGATTTGTTTTATGGAAAAATCCAGATGGCCTTAGTACTAGTGAGAATGGTCATTACACTAAGTTTGCCTGGGGAGAGTACTTCTTCCCAAGCAAAGATGGACAGGAGCCTTAGAAGTTGCTCACAAACAGGATGGAGAGAAGGAAGACAAGTAGGAGCAGAAGACGGAGTGGGTGAGATTTTAAAAAGAGGCAGATGTCCGAAATGGACTAGGTAAGAATGGGAAAGCTTGGAAGCAACATAAAGGTAAATTTGCTGTTGTGAAAGTGTCAGCGTATTTAAACGTAACAGATGAATTCAGATGGCAAGGCCGGGGGCGGGGGTTGGAAGAGGTGCCCTGGTGCTTATATCATTCAGTGTGGGGAGCCTGCATAATGTCCGATGGAGGTAACCCCCCAGGGCCTGGCTGGCTGAGGAATTGCTGCTGAGCATTCTTTTCCTCTTCTCTACCTGGAGGGCATGTGGGTGTCAAACTGCTCGTTTGTGGACAAACCATTTCACTGGGACTGGAAGGAGGTTAGTAGCATCATCTCTTTAAATTGGGAATGCTAGTGGCTTTAAGAGATTTTGCCTTAAATATATTTTTTAAAGGCCTTCGTATGATAATTCGTTGCTGTTCCAGTATAATCTTTTTGGGGCTTAATGGAACTTTCTTAAGATTAGTGTGCATGCACTTAAAAAAAAAAAAAAACCTCCTGTTGATGCTAGCCATTTTCTACCTAAAACAGATTTCTAAGCATATCCTGGGGAACTCTAGTGTTCCTCAGTGTTGGAGATGTTCAATGGAAAAATCATTGGTATTAATAGATTGCCTACTAAAATATTTTTTAAATATGTCAAAGAAAAATGTGTGGTAAGTGTTTAACACATTTATATGGTGCTGCTTAGTTTTTAAAAGATTTTTTTAAAAAAGATTTTATTTATTTATTTGACAGAGAGAGACACAGCCAGAGAGGGAACACAAGCAGGGGGAGTGGGAGAGGGAGAAGCAGGCTTCCCGCCCAGCAGGGAGCCCGATGCGGCGCTCCATCCCAGGACCCGGGGATCATGACCTGAGCCGAAGGCAGACGCTTAACGACTGAGCCACCCAGGCGCCCAGTTTTTAAAAGATTTTACTTATTTATTTATTTATTATTTAGAGCATGAGCAGGGGGAGGCGCAGAGGGAGAGAGAGAGAACCTTAGGCAGACTCTGCGCTGAGCGCGGAGCCCAACGTGGGGCTCCACCCCATGACCCTGAGATCATGACCTGAGCTGAAATCAAGAGTCAGATGCTAAACTGACTGAGCCACCCAGGTGCTCCTGGTGCTTCTTAGTTTTTAATAACCTGCCTTTAAGAATTGCTGTACAGCCCGGAGAAGGCACATGACTCAAGAGGGGACGGCTTCTTAGAGCAGTTCATTCATCTTTGAGATTGTTGTTCCATATCTATTTTTAATCAAAACATTTATCTTTCTTTCTGGGCAATTTTTAACAGCTTTATTGAACTATAATTGATATAAACTGAACTATACTTATTTAAAGTGTGCAGTTTGATGAGTCCTGGTACATGAATACACTCGTGATATTAATACCACAGTCAAGGTAATGAACATATCTGTCACCCCTACAAGTTTCCTCATGCCTGCTTGACGTCCACCCCTCTTTCCATCCCCTCCTCCCTGTGCCCAGGCAACTGATCTCATTTGTGCCACTGTAGATTAGCTTACATATTCTATATACTCGTGTAGTAGGTACTCTTTTGGGCGGATAGGAGTTAGCTTCTTTCGCTCAGCAAAATTACTTTGAGATTCATCCATTTTGTTGTGTTTATCAGTAATTCATTCCTTTTTATTGCGGGGTAGTCTTTCATGGTATAGATATATCACCTTTTGTTTATCCGTTCACCTATTTGTGGACATTTTGGTTGTTTCTGGTTTTCAACTATTGAGGTGCTATGAATATTTGTATACAAGTACAACTTTGGAATGGTGTTCTAATGTAAGCCGCATTCTTGGGTTGGATGTAAAGTCTTTGTGTAGACATATGTTTTCTTTCTCTTTGGTAAATACTTAGGAACAGAATTGCCAAGAAACTACCAAACTGTTTTCTGAAGTAAACGCACCTTTTTCCATTCCTACCAACAATGTGTGAGAGTTCCAGTTGCTTTACATCCTTGTCAACACTTGGTGTGGTCAGTCTTTAGTTTTAGCCATTATAGTTGATATGAAGTGGTATCTCACTCTGGTTTAAATATGTATTTCCCTAATGACTAATGATGTTGAGCATCTTCTTATGTGCTTATTTGCCATGCATACGTATATCTTCTTTAGTGAAATGTCTATTAAAAGACTTATCTTAGTAACTAATGTTTGTGTTTTTTAATGGAATATAACTTACTTTTTTAAAGTGTTGCAAAATGAAATAAATTGAGGAAACACAGTTCTGCTGTGTCTCCAGATACATACTTTTGTATATTTGTATAAAGTTTGGAATCTTTTGACCTCTCTGAATACAGATGCGTTTGCAAAATTGACTTGCTTGACCAATGATAAATTTCCAACCCAATTCCAACATGAAGATGTCCTATGTTTTGAGGAGGTAACTCTGGTGATTGAATGGATAATCATGTTGTTTTCCTCCTCAAGTACATAGGAAGGTCTAAATAGCTAGTCTGTTTGTATGTGTGCTTATTTATACAGAATCAGAAGTGTGAGTCGTCACAAACGGGGCTCGGCTCTACTGGTCGTGAGGAGATGTAAAGTCAAATCTCAAGCTGCCCCTTTGGCTGATTGGTTATTATTAATCATTTTAAGTTATATGAATGTTGGTGAGAAGCAAGAAAACATGATGCTCATGTACTATTTAGAGGCATATCAAAGGCGTAACTTTGGGGGAAACAATTTGGTAGTATCTATCAAAATAAAAAACACAAATACCTTTCATTCACAAGTTCAACTCTATCCTACAAAAACATTCATATGGCACAAAGCTATGCATGTGTGTCTGTGTGTAATATATATTTTTAAAAACTCAATTTAACTGTGTTCAAAATAGAAAAAAAAAAAAGGGAGACACTACCTAAAGGAACAGGCAATTATTAAAAAGAATGGGGTAGGTGTATATATATTGTCATGAAAAAAATGTCCAGAATATATTGAGTGAGAAAAGTAACTTTGTATCGTACGAAAACAATTTTATTATTTTAAAATTCTGTGTATGTATAGAGTGGGGTCATACCTTGAAAAGGAGTTAGCTTCAAAAGTCATCCAGAAAGGCAGTAATTTATGTGTCAAAATTACCCTTGAAAAACACTCTAATCACCCATCAAGTACCCTAAATATAATTTTGTGTTTATATATTTGTGTGTATATAGCCTATATATGTTAGTATAAATATGCCATTTAAGGACATGTATATATACTATTCAGTGCTTTCTTGTTTTCATTTCCTCCTCTGAGAGCCTGTATTTGAATTCAAGGAAGTCAAGCATGCCTGTGTCTCAGCCCCACTGCAGGATTCCTGGTGCCCAGCTATGGATCTGGACATGTACATATAGTACTATAATGTTAATTACCTCTGGCAAGAGTGGGATGGGGGTGGGTTTCTTTTTGTACTTACATATGAAAAAGAGAAATGTCCTTTCCTCTTCTGAATGATGTTCTCTCCTTACTTTCTCCCAAGGAGGACCAGGACCTCCTCCTGGCAGCTGCCTATGTTTCTGATGCCCAGTACAACAGAAATGTTCCCTTTGAAACATCTCCTCGGGCCATCAGGTAATGAAAGTATTAAACTGTCACATAGAGCAAACTGTCCTCTAGTACTTAATAGGCTTGAAGTTAAACCCAAACCGAAGACATTATCTCCACAAACATTTTTGGGAAGTCTCTAGGGTATACACATAGATTTGGAGTAAATCCTAAAATCCAATGCTTTTTTTTTTTTTTTTTTAAGTTATAAGAGCAAGGTGCCTCACACATAGGAAAGCATTCAATAAATACATTAAGGACGGGTAAATGAGTAAATGAGAACACCCAGAACAGGAGAGAGGGCATCCAAAGTAAAATATATATCATCTTTTCCTCTTAGACATGATTTGTCTTCTTAGAGTCTAAATGAAAAGCCTTGTTCTTTTTCTTTCTGTTGCCTTGTGATGTAGTCCATACATTTGTTCTTTTCGTAAGAATCCTGCCTTTTCGCTCTCACCCCGTAAACGTTGAACTAAGACCAAGAATTTGGCCCAAAATAAGGAAAAAACATTTCTTATCATCAGGGCTCAGTGCCAGTGCCTCCAAAAGCAATGAATGCCTCATTCCTGGAAGCTTCAAGCAGGTTGGGGGGACTGTCCCCCGTCCATAGGAAGAGAACTGTGTGACTGCGAGATCTCTCTGAGTCTATCATGTCAACATGGGACGATGCACATTTTAAATTGTTTAGGCTACCCTGCCACATAATAATAGGTCACTTTAACTGAGAGTTTACTCTGTACTGGTCACTGTTTAAAGTCCTCTAAAAGTATTCTCTTATTATTGTCACAATCACCAGGAGGAAGGTATAATCATAGCCGGAGACTGTTAAGAGACTGTGCTTTGAGATATGATAATATGTTGATTTTTTTCTGTTAGTGTTTTGTAATGCATGCTCAATTCAGTACTGTCCCTTGCTCCCTAGAATTGAAAGGAAATGTGGCCAGAGCCATACTTTGTATTTTATCTACCATGTCTTCTAATGGGAAGTTCGAGTGCTGTTTAACTCCTGCTCCTTGTTTATAAACACCTTTATTCTTTTCGTCTTCAGACTTTACTATTTTTATAACCACTGGACAATGCAAGTAGCCATCTACTTCTTTATTTGTGTCGACCTTTCCCTCGCCCTGTTTGAAGAACCTGCGCTGTTTCCACTGCCTTTCTTGGTAAGGATTAAAAAGAAAATGGCTACCTAGACTTTGTCATTGATGAGCTGGGCCCCATTCCTCTTCCTTCTCCCCACCCAATTTCAATAAATATGAACATGGTTTTATTTTTATTGCTGGGGACTGGAAGAATTCTGCCTATTCCCTGAGCTGAAGCTTCACTCATAGGCATTTTCAATGGAGTAGAAGGTTTATTGTCTTCTGTGTACACAGGGATAAACTGGATAGACAAATGATATTTTCAAAGCATATCTATAAAATGGCAAGTAGACAATGTCATAATATGGTGGAATATGCAACTTTTACTTGCCACTTTTCCAGCTTTTTTCTTTCCTAAGTCACTAGAGTATTTATTGGTGCTTAGTAGCTGATCACATTTGATTTTGAGTAATACATCAAATTAACCAGCTATTCCAGATCAGTTAAGCAATAAATTGATGATCTATTCATGTTAATTCCCAACTTGATGCTACTCCTGCAGAGAGTAGGAGTACTCCTCTGAGAGTAGGTATAACAGAGACTGGATGACTTGCAAGGCCCAGAGTATTTACTGTCTGGTCCTTTAACAGATAAAAGTTCGTTGACCCCTAGCTTTAAAGAACAGGCTTTTATTACCTCCCATGATTCTGTGGGTAATGGGGCCCAGCTGGGCAGATTTTCTGTTCCTGTGTCATGAGCTAGGGTAGTAGATATCTGGAAGCTCTGTCAATCTCTGGAGGCTGGCAGGTGCTGCTGGCCATCAGCTGGGAGCTTGCCTGGCTGGAGCTGTGGACCAGAGGGCCCTTCTCTTTTACACGGCTGCTGCATGGGGTTTAGGCTCCTCCCAGTGGGGGAGGGGGAGATCCAGGAAGGAGCATCCTCGTGTACGGGCACCATCAAGCTTCCGCTTGATGACACTTGCTGATGTCCTATTGGCCAAAGCCCATCAGGTGCTGGAGCCCTGGAGTCAACAGGGGAGGACACCGCACAAGGGCTAAAAACTGGAATCATGGTTCATCGGGGGCCATCAAAGTGATGGTATAACACACTTCCATATGATGGAGATGCCACAATTAATGGAGTCTCTGGATAGAAAACTTGTAGCCCAGGGACTATCAAAACAAACACAAAGTTGGACGAAGCAGAGCTGTGCATTCACAGACCCAGACAGTCAGTCCCTCCCTAGCAAGACGCCATGAGCCTTCCCTGGGGTTGTCTCCTCAACCCCTTGCCTCTCTTCCCGAGTCCTCCCCCTTCCAGGTGTTAGTGGTCACGTACAGCTTTGGGTTGGCTGCCTGGGTTCAGAGTGCTCCTTTAGCCAGCATCTGTACCTCCAATCTCTAGAATCCAATGTGTCATGCTGGGGCTTTGGCCCAGAGGCAGCATTACCGAGCACATCTTACTTTGAACAGGGATGTCCTGGAATCGCCCCAGGCCGTTTGGTATGCCTGGTCTTGACAGTGAGTCTCTAGAACCCTTCAAGGGTGAACAGGCTGAGGGCTAGAAGGTTTGCAAGGGGCTGCAGCCCGTGTCCATGCCCAGGACCCATGAAGGCTGGGGTGGGGGAAGGAAGACTGTATCACCTGCTGCTTTCAGGGCCCAGAGCCAGCCCCTGCCTTCCCATCCTTTAGGGAATCCATTCCTCCAGCCCTTACCCTAGACCTTTCTGTCAACCTTCCAGGTTGCCCTGTCCCCAGCTCTTCCTGCTCTGCCATCCTCCTCTCCCCATGATGGAGATAGGTGCCCTTGTTAGGGAGGACTTACTGCCTCAGGGCAGTCACAGGAAAGCTTGGGCTACGTCACAGGCTGCTGAGCTAGCTGCCTGTAGGGAGTTCGGAACTGGGGTCCTGTCACCTATGGAGGACACGGTCAGGACGTGGCATTGGGGCTCAGTGGCCTCCATTCTTTCCTCTGACCAGCCACGATAGGCAGAGGGCTGGAGTGGCAGGGATGGCTAAGGAATGACCCGCATTCAAAACAGATCTCTGGGGAGTTACCCTACTATCAGGGAAACTGAACGTCTAGATGCCTATTTTAAATATGAACGTGAGAATTGGAGAGCACAGAAGACGCCTATGTCTATCATCCTTGCCCTCCCCTTTCTGGGGAAATGCTTCTGGGTCCCCTGCCTGCTGATTCAGCCTGTCCCAGGAAGCCCTGCCTGTTAGGTCATGGGATTCATGGCTCCAGGACAGGTTTCCTTTTAAGAGGAAGAAACCATCCCCACCAGCAAAGAATTTGGCTGCAACCAGCAGTGAAATGAAGGGACATCACTAATTCTCAGAGGGTGGCATCAAGGGAGCTTGGGGGGTGCAGCGGTTACAAGAGGGCTAAAGCTGAGTCTCCAAATGGCCAGGGGGCTGTGTTTAGTCTTTGTTTTCTGCATTCAGGCTACCTCGATAGCAGAAGTACTCTGTCTGACTGCATTCTTTGGGAGACTTGTACATTTTGCGAAAGTCACTCCTCAGATGGTTTTCTGGAAGGATATGAAAAACATCTGCATCATGGTAACCATAGTGGTGAGTGCTCATTACAGTGCCCTGAAGACTTTGTGGTCAAAGGCAGAAACTATGAAGCGAAAAGACAGCATAGATTTGACTTGGTTAAAGCAACAGTGACAGACTTCGGCACAGCAAACCCCATCAGCAATGCGAATCCCGATTGAACAGCAAATAAGGCAAAATATGAGAGTGTGAATGCTGTATTTTAACACAGTGAAAGCACTTCCAAATTAAAAGGAAAAAAAAGACAGAAACTCCACTAGTGCTGAAAATAGGTGAAGGCATCTCATAGAAGAAAAAATAAATAATGGTCGATATGAAAAAATGTGTAATTTCACTAATTAAGAAATATATATTAAAACAACTATAAAATACCATGTGTTTGCCTTTGAAACAGTGTTAGCAACATTGAGAGAAAAAAGAACCTTTTATACCCTACTGAAGGGACAAATAAGCTTTCTGGAAGGCTGTGTGGCCATTCCTTTCAAAAAGCCTTGCACCCTGGAGTTCCATTCCTGGGAATTTATCTTTAGGGAAGAAGGATGTGTTCAAAGATTTAGCCACAAGATTGGTCATGGCTGAACTGTTTGTAATACTGAAAAATTGGAAACAACTTGATTTCCTGACAGTAGATATGTATTATATAAAATGTGGCGCACCTACTCAGCCCTTTGAAATAGTGTTAAAGCAACGTATGTGTCTATTACTAAGGGGAGGTGCTTATTATTCATTAAGTCAAAAGAACAAGATACAATAGAGCTGGATCTCAACTTTGTTGAAAAGAAAAAGGAAAGAATGTGTATAACATTCACAGAGAAATCTGGGAGGGTATATGCTAAGCAGTTATGCCCAGAGGGGCAGGGTATGTATTCTGAAACACGGCTGTAATGTCCAGAGAGGCCCCTTCAGTGATTAGGTAAAGGTACTTTATAGTTAGCGTAACGGTGCGGCAGCCAGCAGGCCTGAACCAGGGTTCTTCCCGATTAGTCCGAGGCTCAGTCTGCATGCCTCTAGGCCAGAGCTGCCATGATCACTGGTAGGTAGGGGTCCCCATGCTGTAGCCCATACCGGTTTCCCTTCTGAGTTTCTTTTGTCTGTGGCCAGCTGCTTGGTAGCAGTTTCTATGGGTGTCAACGCAAACAGAATGGGATGAAACCCACCCTCTTTGCCCCTCCACTCCCCTAGCTGTTTGTTTGTGGGTGGTGCCTTAGGTCCCAACACCCAGTTCCTAATCCTCTTAGTCAAGATTCTCTCTTCTCCCTTGCAGCAGGCCTCCCCAAAGCCCCTCAGGATGCCTCTCGCCCTGTTTCCATTCTCCCCACTTGGACTATTGCAGTAGTCTCTGATGTGACCACGCATTGTTGTCTCTTTGTTGCATGACATTCTGTTCCCACAACGTGGTCCAGGCCCTGGTCACCCCTTTTGGGAACTGCCACGGTCACCTCAACCTCAGATCCCCACCTGATACGTGCATTTTAGATGCTGCCGCTGGATGAATCCTCCGGAAGCACATCTCCCATCGCTTCCCTCCCTTACTCAAAAATGTCTATGAGCTCCACAGACTATCCAGTGCCCCCAGCCCTGCAAACATGTTTCATGGGGCCCTCTTCACCCTAGCTGGCTCGAGCTGCCTCCTGCCCTGCACACCTACCGCCCCCTCCTCCTCAGCCTGACGTGGCTCATTTGCCTGGAAGGCCCATGGTCTCTTCTCGCCTTGCTCGAAACATTTGTTTTGACCTCCCTTCATGCATCTGCTGAGCCCTCAGGATATGGAGACTATCTCTCTGTACTTTTCTTATTTTTAGAAATATTTATTAAAATCCTTAAGGCACACTAAATCCGGGAAGGGTCCCTGGGACCACAGGCTTGGGTTCCACACTGTCACTTCCTTGTGTGTCCTCTAGCAGGGTGACATTGACAGTTTTGTCCCATGTCTCTCACAGCTGACCTTGATTGATTTGATTATCTATGGTTCCCTGGAAGCTGTTAATATCCACAGCGTTCGATGGTCAAGGGCCTTAAGGCCAGTCTTCCTAATTAACTTCCCTGAAAGTCGTCAGGTAAGGATATACCTTTGGATAACGCAAGGGCTTGGTTTTTGTTTGCAGAAAATGAGCCGATTTCTTGGAAATGAAATGAAATTTTGTCTTCACAGATCCGAAGAACTTTCAGAAGCATCCGGAACACTCTGCCCGATATCCTCTACGTCTTCCTCTTGTTCATGTTCAGTGTGCTGATATTCTCCCTTATGGCCTTGAAGCTTTTTGGGGATCGGTGAGCACACTGTTCTGGCAGTTTCTGCCTGTGAATTCTCCCCTGTTTGGGTTCAGCACGTTGGTGGCAGAATCTGTCACCGGATGCCATCTTCCTCGTTCAGACACTCCAGGAGTGCTTTTGAAAGGGGGGAAAAAGTGTATCAGAAATCACAACTTTATTTATGGGTGTGAGTTTCTCACTTTGTGTTTTTGGTTCCTCTTTAGGGGTCTTCAAACAGTGGAAGGCTTGCCCTACTTCACAAATATCCTGGAGATAGCGTTTGAACTCTACGTGCTGGTCACTACCGCGAACAGTCCTGATGTCATGTACGTTCATCTCTGCTCACGTTCACGGACACCTGTTACCATGACAGAATTCACTTTGTTAAAGGCGCTACCTCCTGACACCAGCAGGGCTGAGAGAGGAGAAGTAGTGATTTTCTGCTTATTCATATTCATCGTCAACATTTTTGAAGAATGTAAAATGTTTACATTAATGATAGCCTACCCTCTCTCACTATTTTAAACTAAATTTAGGTGTGTTTTTTTTTTTTTTTAAACTGAAAGCAACAGGAGACATCTCTTGAGATACAACTCTTAAATATTGGAGCCTACTTTGTATTCCAGGACTTTTTTGAGTCTTGAATCTAAACACTAAGCCATCTCTATAAAGGAATCATGGCTTGTTCTCCTCAACTTTGATGTGCTTTTCTGGTTAAATGAAACAGGAAAGAAATGTAAAGATGAGTAGTCATTGCCTTCCCCCTCAAAATGCCAATTCTCCACACGTGGACTTTACTTAGGAAGAAAACATGATTTTTTTTTTTCTAATGTCCTTCGTATTATGGATTAACCTTGTTTGTGGAAGTGAAATAATCAAACAGTGCTACACTGAGTAGACATCTCTTGGGGTCCAGGGCGTGGATGGGGTTCTAACTGCAAATGTCAATCCCAACTCAGGCCATACAGCGCGTCCGGGCGGGGGCAGGCTTTCTGTCATCTAGGTCTGTGTGTGATCATCACATTGACTTGTTCTGGGTTGTTGCTCACTCTTGGGCCTGGCTTGGACACAATGCGGGCGAGGTGCAGTTCTGGCCCTCCTTGTGTTCTCTTGCATCTTTCCCTCAGACCCTGGGCCTCTGGCCATGCTCCCAACCTCCCGTCCTGTATGAAATCCAATTTCCATTAAATGTGGAGTGAGCACACATCCTGATGTATGCCTCTCGCCCTGGTGCCATTGTTAACGGTGCCCCTTTCCTTCTCATTGTCCTAGAGTGGCTAGAAATCATCTGCCCCCCCGCCCAGCAAGGCAGTCTGGTGTCCCTGAAGAGCCTTGAGTATAAGCCCAAGCCACTCTTGGATTCCTTCTGTGGCTCTGGGCAAGTCAGTCTCCTTTTTAGGCTTCGATTTTCTCATTGTGAAGGGAGGGGCTGGGATTAGGGGATCCCCAAGGTCCTAGCTGCCGCCTGTATAGAGCACTAAGAAATCCAGAAGGCAAGTTTGGAGCCAGCTCTTTAGCGTTAGGGGTGACGGCGGCTCTGCGGCCCCCCGACCTGGCACCGCACCATGTGAGGGACAGTTAGAGTGAGAGGAGGTTTTGCTGTGCCTCGTGCACGTGGATTGTCCATGTGGGATGGCACCCGAGACCAGCCTTTTATGCACTGGGGACCTAGGCTATGAGAAACCATGCCACATAATTCTTTCCTTCCAGGATGCCTGCCTATAACTTCAATTGGTGGTATTCTCTGTACTTCATAACCTACATCATCATCAATACCTACATCTTCATGTCCGTCTTTCTGGCTGTGGTCTACAACAATTATAGGAAACACTTAAAGGTACCGTGCATGAGCGGAAGGCGGGTGGGAGCAGGGGGCTGGGCATCTGCGCTGGATCCACTGGCAGGGAGGCTGGCAAATGCATTTGCTCAGTATTTGAAGGTGTCCTTTTTCTTGTTGCTTTGGCCGATCTGAAGACTCATGTGGTATCTTGCTCTGTTCCGCTAGGTGGGGCAGTTCTTTACTGGTCTTTGCGATGGTCTAACAGTGTCTGGACATCGTGGGCAGCGGCAGGCCCTTGCTTAGCTCCGTGCTCTTAAGGCATGAAATTGTTCATGGTTCCTTGAAACGTTTTGTGTAAGAATGGAATTTGGGGATATTTTCCAAGCTCCCAACTCCTTTTCCCCTCTCCCGCAGAAGCAGAAACTCCTTAAAGCCAACAGTTTCTGCCCCGGTACCTGCCTGTTTGATTTATGTCTGGAGAATTCCTGGAGGTGTTGGGTGGGCAGAGGCTTCTGAGTACTTGAGGTGGAGGCTGTTTTATTTCCAGCCTAGAATCCACCAGGATACTTCAGCCATGTCACCTGCTTCCCCTGCCCCCCACTGCACACATCTCTGCTTGGTTGTTTTCTCATCTTGTGAAACTAGGTGCACAGAGAGGCTTTTCATCAAAGGATGATTTTTCCTTAAGGGAAGACATTGCCTTTTGGTTCTCGATCCTTTTGGTTCTGTTCTGAATTTTTCATTGCATAGGATGGTGCCACCAGGGAACAAGAAGAAAGTCAGGGAGAACTTCAATGTTTGCAGCTAAGGAGAAGCAGGTGGTGGGGCTGAGTCTGAGATTTGGCCCAAATGGCCTTTGCAGGTGCCTGGCCTGTCCCGGTCCTGAGGAGTCTATGCGCTATGGGGACTTGAGCTGCCCCTGCCCCAGAGGCCAGGCCTCCAGAGACCCTCCTACTCCACCTTCCTCCCTCTGGGTGGAAAGAGGCTGCCGAGAGTCTGGTATGCCTCTCCTCTTTGTTGCTGCTGGACAGAACTATTGCTCTACCTCTCCTAACCCCAAGGAAGTGTTTCTTTGGGTAATCCTCTGCAACAGGGATCAGTCAGCAAGCCTCTGAAATGTGTTTTAGGTGCCCAGCACCAGTCCAAGTGCTGAGAAGTCAAAGACGATTAAGACACAGCCCACACCCCTTAAACATTTACAGTCTAGCTATATAATCAATTAAGTGATGATGTTATTGGGTAACGGGCTTACAGGGAGCAGGAAGAGTGGGCATCAGGTGACTGTAACCCGGGGAGGCCTGTCTAGCCTACTCTCCTCTGGATGATTCCCTGTGCTTGGGCCAGATGGTAGCTCCAGGCAGGCCCAGCTGTCCTTCCTGCCCTGGACCTCTTCCTTCCGGACCACTTCTAGCCTAGTTTCACTTCCCCGACTTTTCTCCTTCTCCCCTTCTCTTTCTTGATTGACTTAATGGTAGCTCTATCTTCTCCCTTTCTGGGGTCTCCCTGTGTCTCAGCAGTACACCCGATTTCCTTCCTTTCTGGAATCTCCCTTCCTCCTGGGCAGAGTGGAGTTGGGACCAGTCTGCCTCCTGCTGTTCTGTTTCTCACCACACAGATTATCCTTCACGGGCTCCCTCCTGTAAACTTGGTAAGATGAGTTTCGTTTATGTAGACGGGTTGGCTACGTGTACCTGCGGCCGGGGAGGGATTACATACCTTGCTTGATAATACACCCTTCGGTGCCTTCTCTTTGGCTCGTCAATTACCTTGACACGTTTAGGGGAAGGAAACAAGGCTTTCTTGAATCTTTCTCTTAAAAACCACAATTCTGGGGGCGCCTGGGTGGCTCAGTCGTTAAGCGTCTGCCTTCGGCTCAGGTCATGATCCCAGGGTCCTGGGATCGAGCCCCGCATCGGGCTCTCTGCTCTGCGGGGAGCCTGCTTCTCCCTCTCCCACTCCCCCTGCCTGTATTCCCTCTCTGGCTGTGTCTCTCTGTCAAATAAATAAATAAAATCTTAGTACTCTGAAAAAAAAAAACAAAAAAAACACCACAATTCTGTTTTTTAAAGAACGAGATTCGCAAACTGGCGTACCTGAAACGTCACAAAATGATAGAGGCTTTCAACATTCTGAAGGTCAAGGTGGGCACAGAGTTTGTGGTGACGGAGGCCCGGTGGAAGCGGCTGGCCAGGATCGTGATGCCACACATCAGCAGTCCCCACCTGGAGCTCCTTTTGAGGATCTCCGACGAGGGACAGAAGGGCCACGTGGGTAAGAAGCCTTGGCCTCTGCCATTCCTCTTCGCTGTGCGTTCAAAAGTGGGTGGCTCCCAACAGCGATTCGTAAAACAGCAGTATTGGTTTTTTTTAAAAATTTTCTTAAATTTGCAAATAAAAATGTATGTGCACCCTTCCTGCTGGCAACAACCCAGTGGAGTTCGGGTCCTCACGCTGTGTTCTGACAGGGCTGTCCCCGTGTGAGTTGTCAACGTGTAAGGAGCCATCCAAAAGCCCTTACCTTGTCACAGTCATTCCACTGCTGACCCTGCTTTAGGGACGTCATCTAAAATTGGAAGAGAGCTGTGGAAATGAACATTTACGTCACATTCAGTATTTGAAAGCAAAAAGTTGAAAGTAACGTAAAATTCAGGTCCTGGTGGTTGGTAGCTATTACGAATAGCGCTTCGTATCCGTGACACACGTACGAGGCGTGAGCCACTGTCATGAGTGTTTTCCGTGCGTGGTGTGTATGCGATCGCTGAGGTGGGGCTGTTTGTCATCCTCATTTGTCAATATGGAAACCGAGACTGGAAGAGGTTAAGTAGTTTGCCCAGGCCACGCAGCTGCAAAGTGGTCGAGGCCATCTGACTCCAAGGCTTGTGCTTTTTCTCACTGTGCTAAACCACCCCAGATTCTGATAGTCACGTGATGGGAAATTGTGGTGACCTTAAGAATGACTGTAAAGGGCGCCTGGGTGGCTCAGTTGGTTAAGCGACTGCCTTCGGCTCAGGTCATGATCCTGGAGTCCCGGGATCGAGTCCCGCATCGGGCTCCCTGCTCGGCAGGGAGTCTGCTTCTCCTTCTCCTGCTCCCCCCTCTTGTGCTCTTTCTCTCTCTCACTCTCTCTCTCAAATAAATAAATAAAATCTTAAAAAAAAAAAAAAAGAATGACTGTAAAGATGATATGTCAATATGGAAAGATGTGAGGTGGCCAAAATATATCCCAAACTGTAGAACACCCTCAGTTCATCTGTTTCCAGAAGAGTCTAGATGGGAACATACCAAAATGGAGGGGTAGCTTCGACTGGATATAAATTTACCTGAGACAAGGACTCTTAAACTAGTCCCACAGAGCTGTAGGCCTTATGAGGACTCCATGCAGGTGGGAGAAGCAGATAACAGTGAGTCTCTGGAACTTACATGAAGAAAGAGAACAAAGAGAAATGTACAGTAAGACACTGCTAAATGGGTGGTGCTCATGTCTGCCAGCGAGAGTTTGGGATCCAGGATGGAAGAAGGCCTTTCTCCTCTTGAATTAGCAGGATCTGACATGCGCCTTCTGGTGAGCCCCGAGCAAGTCTCCTCAGCCACCCTGCTCAATGTTGTGGCTCTGAGGGTCTGCTCAGGAGCTGGGCTTCTCAGAGCCTGAACGATTGCCTTGGTGCCCCCCCATTAGGGACTGGCGGGGGTTGCCAGTGCTATTCAGCATGTCGGGGTTAGGGTTTTGCAGATGGTGGAGAAGGGCAGCTGGTGCCCGGGGCAACCCCTGAGCACAGTGCTTCCTAAGCTGTGTTTAGTGAAGCTGCTTTAATGTCTGACCTGTCATGGACTGACACTTTGGTAAAGTACAGCAAAAATCAGTGCTTGGAAAAATGAAATGAAGACGTGTTAATATCCAAGTGCCATTTTTTTCATTTTTGGAGTCAGTGGACATGATCCTGGCCATTGTTCTACAAGTTTCTATATTCAGCACTTATCCCATGGAGGGTGGGGAACACAAGGACAGGCCCAGCAGTGGCCCAGGGACCACTGTTGGAGGACCACTGCTCTAGTACTTAGAGGAGAGGGTCGGGACTTGGGTCCCCTTGGATATCCCACCCCAAGGACCGGGGTAGTGTGGCTGGTCACCCTAGCCCAGGTGTTCCCAGCCTTCAGCCCCTCTGTTTTTGAGAATTCTCCTTTGATGATTTAGTACCTCTGCTGCTTCTAGATGATCGGGACTCTGAAGATGTTGATGAATCCTTAGGGTGTTATGAGCTTTCTTTGCAATTCCTTCTGTGAAGTGAATTCGTGGGTTGGTAGTAAAAGGTGAGATATTCCAGACCTAGGGATGGGGGCTTTTAGGAGTCTTTGTCTTTGTCTGTCAGGCATGGGGAGACCCATATACTTGGGTGTCTCCTGCTCATCCAGAACAGATACACATGGTCCCCAGGACATACTCATATGAACGTCTCTTTGTTGATGAGGTCAGTCTAACTATTGATGGTCATTTCCCAAGTGGGAGGATGAATTGCTTTTCTTTGTCTTGTCAGCTTCTTGCATGTTCTAGGCTGTAAGTAGGATAGCTCTTAAACGATGTTGTTCAGCTGTGCAGGATAAATATGGAGCACACCAGACACATCCAAGTTCTCCTGGCACCCCTACTCATTTGGTTGTATCACTCCATGAATTACATGAGCAAGAGGAAGGAGGGGTTCTTTGAGGCCACCACATACCTTTCTGGAGAGTGCCAATGCAGATCCGGTACCAACACCACCAACCACCACCACCTGCCCATCTGCAGAGGTTCTTTTCCGAATGTGGGTTGTGATCTTGCACAGGGCGAGGTCTGTAAGAGTTACGTAAGGAGGCCAGTCAGCGACAAAAGGGAGCAGAGGAACCTGAGAATGAGGCATGGCCCAAACCCACTGTGCTATAGAATGTTTTCACGCTGGCCAAGAATAGCCATGGCAAGAGGAACGTGCAGACCGGTTGACGCTAGAACTCCTCCAGAAGTGAGAAGCCTCATGTCTTTATAGTGGCCCACAGTCATCCAAGAGATAATGAAAGTCAGTGCAAGTGTTGCAGTCTTGTGAGTAATAAGAGCATCTCCTTGGGCAAGCGCTGCAAATCCAGCTCCCTGGGCCGAAGACAGAGATGGCAATGACCAGCCTTCTGTACCTCACGCGGAGAGCCTGAGGGGCCTGTTCCGGATTTCCTCTATTAACGTTAATGTGCTTTGTTAGAGACACACACACAGATAGTCATGCCAATGCCTATCCTTACATGCCAGTGTGATTTACAGCTTGAAAACTCTAGTTTCTATAGCATGATGAAGACAATTATTGTATAGTATTTTAATTTGGGGGCCCTGAAGAAAAAATCTACTTAGACATAGGAACATAACATTTTAATTTCTTTGGAAGTCTTAGGTAAATCCAGATTGTTGACTATTTACCTCAACATTCATTAGTCCAATGCCCCCAACTCAATTAGTAATTTTAGAAAATACGTTTGAGAAATCATAGGTAGTTGATCCATTGCTGACACTAAGGATTTGTCAGAGAAGTAGAAAATTCTGCATGTGGTGTCCACAGAGTTGACGCGGGCAACTCTACAGGGCCTTGTGATTTATTTATTTTTATTATTTTTTAAAGATTTTCTTTATTTATTTGAGAGAGAGAGAGAGAGAGAAAGAGAGAGAATGAGAGAGAGTATGAGAGAGAGAGAGAACACAAGCAAGGGGGAGGGGCAGAGGGAGAAGCAGACTCCCCGCCAAGCAGGGAGCCCAATGTGGAACTTGATCCCGGGACCCTGGGATCATGACCTGAGCTGAAGGCAGATGCTTAACCGACTGAGCCACCCAGGCACCCGGGCCTTGTGATTTATAATGTTGTGTGAGATTTACACAAGCTGACTGATGAAGACCCAGCTTTTTATTTATTTATTTATTTATTATATGACAGAGAGAGACACAGCGAGAGAGGGAACACAAGCAGGGGGAGTGGAGGAGGGAGAAGCAGGCTTCCTGCGGAGCAGGGAGTCCGATGCGGGGCTCGATCCCAGGACGCTGGGATCATGACCTAAGCCGAAGGCAGACGCTTAACCATCTGAGCCACCCAGGCGCCCCTGAAGACCCAGCTTTTTAAATCACAGTTTAAATCATGCCCTATGGTTCTAGCTGATGTTTAGGTTTATGGATGCCTAAACGTTAGCTGACATCATGACACCCATTTGACCCGAAAGATAAGGAAGAGGAGTGTGAGAAGTTCCAGCCACGTTAGCGTCTTTGGAGAAAAGAAATCGTACGTGAACTAAAATAACATATTTGCATTTTGTATTTACATTGGATAAAATCAGGAGAAAGACGTGAAGCCACATTTTAAATCCTAAATCACAAAACAACGTAATTTACTAGTTTTTCTTTATTGGGAGCATTAAATCAATTTGGATTAAAATTTTAAATTATTTTAATTTGATTAATGAAGTAATTTTAAGACATTTTAATCTTCAGTCAGAAGTTTTTAGATTTAAACTTTTATTTATTTATTTATTTTTTAAGATTTTATTTATTTGAGAGAGAGAGAGCACAAGAGAGAGAGCACAAGCCAAGGGGAAAGGCAGAGGGAGAAGCAGATTCACTGCCAAGCAGAGAGCCCAATGTGGGTTTCGATCCCAGGATCCTGGGATCATGACCTGAGCCAAAGGCAGACGCTTAACCAGCTGAGCCACCCAGGTGCCCAAGATTTAAACTTTTAAACCAGATCTTTAAAATGTATCTCTTTTACCAAAGAAATTAATGAATGTTATTTTTCCCCCAATGGCGTTCTGCAACTACTAATTGTTGGCCTATTATTAATTTGCACATCTTTGTAAAAAAATTTTTTAACTAGGTATAGACACTAAGAACATTAAATAAAGCTAAAATTTCCTGGTTCCCATCTGATTTTCTTAAGAAATTATAGAAATACTGTTTAAATTAATAGTTTGTTGTTTTATATATTTTATACGTGTGGGGGTCAGACTTTATAAACCAATTTGTTAATTCAGGGTTTTATCTGGAAGGCACATGCATCAAGAAGAAAATCATTTTGGGGCGCCTGGGTGGCTCAGTTGTTAAGCATCTGCCTTCAGCTCAGGTCATGATCCCAGGGTCCTGGGATCGGGCCCCGCATCGGGCTCCCTGCTCTGCGGGAAGCCTGCTTCTCCCTCTCCCACTCCCCCTGCTTGTGT